CCCCCCCCCCCCCCCCCCCCCCCCCCCCCCCCCCCCCCCCCCCCCTCGTTTCAATATTTTTGTTTGCAAATGAATTTCGCACGTTTCGCTAAGCGTGCGCTAAAAATATTTTATCAAAATCTATCACGCATCAATAGGTGATATAAAGCCGTCAAACTCAGCCTTATTAGGAAAAGACAATGACAAAAATCAAGTCAACGGTTTAATTGCCATTTAATCTAAAGCAGAGATAATTGCCACGATAACGCTCTGAAAGAATTAATTTTCTTTTACTCTTTTGTACAAGATTTTCCGCCAATAAAGTCAACGAAAATTGTCAACTAAACCCCCATATGCATCGCCTACAGTTTTACGTGACATTTTCCATTTCGTAAATTGTACGGTTTCGTGAAAAGCGATTGGTGTTAATTGACATCGTGCGAGAAAATTTGAAAAGGAACTTAAGACATATCTTAGAAAATGAATAGAAAAAAATGCTTCGGTGGTAATAATGTCAACGGATGTTGTTATATGCGCCTACTTTGTGTTGATTCAGTATGAATACGTCTTTTGAACGAAACCATATTAATTTGTATTTTTATTTTTTTTTAATTTTTTCCAATTTCCTGATATTTTTTTGACAGTATGTTTTTTATAGAATTCATCGACAATTGCATAGGCTGAGACAGTGGCAACTGGTTATTTGTCATATCAATTGTCTGGCCCCAAAAATGTGGGCTCAGTGCTTATATTAGCTTGCATGATAAGAAATTTGAATTAAATTAAATTAAATGAAATTAAATTTCTCTACACTTTCATTACATTTATTATTTATTATATAGATTTCACTAGTTTGTGTAGCTGTATAAATCATATGTACATGCTTACTTGCATGCATACAATGCATATATATACATACTTGTTTATATATGTGTCAATATATATCAACAACTGCTAACACTCACTTTATGTTAGCTGAAATTAACTTATTCTATTTGAATTGATTTTATTATAATTGCATTTTATCAATCGAATCGTAATTAGAATGTTATTCCAGTAATTAAACACAATTTAGATTAACACTTTATTCTTAAAATATTGTTTATATCTTATTTTCAGATGGGTTGAATTGCGCTTTAGAAATGAGTTTCGATTAGCTGCAAAAAAAAAGTAGAAAAAATCAAATTTACCACATTTGAGCTAGAAATTCATTCATTTGTGACACAAATAATTCATAATTCACGATATCAATAAGTATGACATCGCTCCATAACTTTCTGCTCCGAAAACTATATTACGTAACTATTAACAGCCTCATCATTTTTGAATTTTGGCAAGTAAAGTAATTTGTGTGTTTGAGTTCAAGTTTTTTATATCGTTTCATATAACGGCCGCCAAGAAATGCATGCAGAAGATGCATCGCAAAATAATGGAATAGAAGATATGCGAGGACGCTGTCAACCATTTAATTAACTACTAAAAAATTATTAAAAAGTGCTAACATCGAATTTACTCGCGTCAATCATTTTTAATTTAAGGCGTTCCATGATCGACATGTCTTTGTCGCTAATTTCAATCTAAAACTAAATTTATAAAAAAAAAAAAAAATATTTAATCTTAGTCTCTATACCTAGCAGAACAGGTAGGGAATCTTGAAATTATCGACATTTCTATAGTTGTATGTATGCTGCTAGAGACTGGTATTTTAACTGGTATTTGTAAAAACTTGAAAATAATAACAGGCATGAAGTCTTTGGTGTTGTCTATAAATTCAGCTGTTAAATCAAATATTTTCCTGACGACAATTCGGACATTTTGTAATAAGTAAACACAAGGCATTCAATTCCGTGTTTAGTGTGTGCAACGAAAGAGATTCTTTCTAACGCAGAATCCACGAGGAAAACGAATTAGGAAGATAGGGTGTTTTTATGCGACTGGGAAAGCTTTCAATGCGTTTTTCGTGAAACACATAAAGCACAAACCACAGCCACAAACATCCTTTGGTTCACCTTCACTCTCAATAAAGCATTTCCGCTCTGTGGACATTTCCTTAAGTGGACATTGACAGTTTCCAAAAATGTCTATAAATATTTTTGATGAGTTAGATATCATCAGGTAAGACATTAGGATGCAGCAGAGTCTAATTTCACACACAGCAATCCTCGTGGAGCGCTTAAGGAAACGTTTGAAATTTTAAGGAGAAAGCTTCTTCCAGGTAATACATCTTTGTTTACAATGATTCTTCTTTCAATGGTCGGCTTATATGTTTTTACTTCTGCCACGAACGATTTGTCGCGAGCGTTAAAATAGTTAACCGTCGCTGACGACCAGACTTAGGAGTAATACTAGGTTACTGTGAGTAACTGTGGCAAGCGGCTCTGTCATGTCGTGATCTGCATTGATCTCTTTCTGTAATTATTCAAACACTCAGAAGCGAAAATTAGAGACGTAGTTTCTCACTGGGGCTATAATCAGAACAAGCAAGCAAGCAAGTATCCTACTGAATATTAAAGCACATTTAAATTCAAAAAAAAAAAAAAGAAAAGGTGGTAATCAAAATTTTTTATTTTTTATTTTTTTTTTTAATATGACCAATCACTCAGGGTATATTACCTGGTTGTGTAACAGGAAGGAAGTCGGAAAGGCGAGGGAATAATGAGAAAGAGACAGGGAATTTCAATCGGTAAGTGTTATGTCCCTGTCAACTGAGCAATTTCTAGCGCTGCCCTGCAATGGTATGCAATGGTGTCTAAATGCGTTTCGGGTAATATTTGCCGCATTGATATATAATAGAAAATACAATATAAATATCTCAACTAATATCGGATAAAAATAATGCAACAGATTTTTCACTAGATCTTCGCATCACACCTACGATCTCCTGATGTAATATGTTTATTGAAACGCATCCTATGGAAAATCATTTTGCAAAAGTTGCTTTATTTATTTGTTTATTTATTTATTTATTTATTTATTTTTTTTTTGTTTAATGTTATACTAAAACTAATGCTTATGTATGACAACAATTGGTTAAAAAATAAAAGAAGAACCACAAATGTACAGAACAGATTGTTATGAATTTTTACATACACGTACGCATTTCCGTCCTGGGTTTCTTTTCTTTGTAGCATACACACTATTATCAACTTCGTTTATCATTTTCGTTAATTTCGTCTCTTTCATTTTCAATTTCATTTTTGCGGCTTTCAACTTATGCTTTTATTGTTGTAAATTCTATTTCCTTTTTCAGTTTCTTTCTTAATTTAGTCATTCTTCACTACTGCGAAGTTATCCCATATGTTTGCAGATAATTTTCGACATAAAATTTTATGGTAAGTTAATGCATGAATCGCGTGAGGTTTGAGTTTACTTAGAAACCGCCAAAAACCATATGTGTTTTAAAATCGGTTTTTTTTTTTTTTTTTTTTTTTTTTGTATACGAATGCATAAAACTTAATTATCTCTATCAGGGATTGTAAAAATCCACGAAATATTAATCACAGTTTAAACCGCAGTCGTTAGCAATATTCAACCAAAGTTTAATTTTCGATTGTACGTACAACTGGCGTAAGCTGAAGTGGATTCTTTCGTTTGTATTTGTATTTATATGCGACAAGTTAATGATGCACAAATGCATCATATTCGGTTTATACTTTCCGGGTAGGTAGGGTGTAGAAAACGAGAACACATATATATATATATATATATATATATATACACACACACACACACATCATGGACATGACAAGTATTGAAATATTTCGAATAAATCAAATAAATTGCATAGTATGGACAAGCGATTTGCTTGCCTAACTTAATTTAATTAAATTTTCCCTCGAAAATCATTACGCAATATTGCCGCATTAAATGCTAAACAATTTACAATTTATATGACTGTTTGATGTGTTTTCAATGCTGTTGATGTGAAAGGCATATAATCACAGCCTCTGATAAAATTCCTTTAAGTGATTAAATGTTATTTTCGTCTGTTTATGCTTAGCATTTATTTACAATAGCAAAAATGAAAAGGAAAAGAAGAAATTAATGAACGAGAAACGCACAATAGAAATTATATTCAGGTTAGACCGAATCAGTTTATCTAGTAGTTATCACTGAAGAGCTTATTACATAAATAATTGTAAAAAATAATTTTTATAATTTTTCAAATATTATTAATATTTCAGAACTGAACAAACAGTTCACTGAGGCCGATGTTTGATCTTATCCAATAATAATGAAATAACGAAAGGGATTTTAATAAAAAAATTCCTCCTTATATACGTTTCGTTAAGTCTTTAATCATGTGTCGTTCCGATTTCAACAAACATAGACAGATAGATAGATAGATCGATAGATGGATAGATAGATAGATAGATAGATAGATATGACTTACGAATAAATCGATTCGACTATTTATGATAAATAAGAATGTATATAACATGCTTTGTGGCGTCTGCGATGCATAATAAGCATTCGACAAATCTAACATACTTCGCATTGTGACATTACAACAACAGCAATAACCGCAACAGAAAAATATTACAGAGAAATAGTACAAGTTTTTACTCAAAACGAAATGGAATAGTGTAGAGGAAATATTCTATGTGTTTATTTGCCTCGCATACCATAATTAAGGGTGTGAGTGAATGAATAAAAGATTGCTTCTGCTCTTTACATTTACTAACATATAAGCGCACATATTGCTTATAAGAGCAAAACACTACATGAAATTACACATTAAGTCGTAGTTATGTGGTTAACACACTCATTAGCACTACCCCGCCCCTACCGTCCTCATCATCAGCGTATCATTCCAGTAACTTTGGCATATGGCGGCTGCGAAAGTCATTTGAAACACTTATGAATATGAAAATTTTTGAAGAAGAGAAAATTAAAGAATTTTCTAAAAGGTTTTATTTATTTATTTACTTTTTTTTTTGGCCTTTTATATAAAAAAAATAAAAAAAATATGTTTTAACCGTATTTTAACACAAATAAACACTGCAAGTAAAAAGTCAGTGTAATGCAGTTAACCCGTACACAACTCACAGAGATGTACAGTTTGCCGAGTTTATCCTTGATTAACAAGATGAAGCGAGTTTGTCCGAAAGTCTTTAAAATCTTCTTAGGCGTCAAAATTGAGATAAAATGTAGGTATCACACATCACAGATAGAATGCTTGAAAAAGTCGCATTCCTCCCATAAACTTTTCTCAGAATAATCGTAAATTTAATATGTCAACGTAGTTGCGTTAATAATTTACAACTTAGAGCAGATATCGTTCGAAAGTTTAGCACAAATATTTAATGTGAAAACAACCTTATTGACTTCATCGAAAAGTTAACAATTAACAATTATCAAAAGAGTGACCCTGCAATGACTAAATTACTTATATCTTGATCATACATTTTGAATATAAAAAATTCGATCTTTTATTTATATGTTTTTTTTTAAGACAATTGTTCGTCCTAAATATTGCTGAAAATTTCCATATGAATGCATTCTAAATGAGATTATGATCATCAACAAATCTGGTTCGAAGCTTTCTTCAATTAAAAATTTTCAATAAAATACTTGTCACCCTATCCATCAATAACTTAATCCGTGTATCTGTTTTTTTTTTTGTCGTCTATTGTTCGAAAATTGAGATAGAAGGAAAAAAGCAGCCCATACCCGATCCCTTAAAACAAGATGAAAACTTTGTAATATTGTAATGTAGTTCGTGGAAAATGTCATTTCACGGTTATTTGCTAATAAAAATGGTTCTGATTGCCCAAGTTGCACGCCTACAATTTTAAACTCATTTTGTAATTTTGCCATTTTCAAGACAATATATATATATAGCCGAGATATCCTTCAATGTGATTACTATTTCAAGTTCCTTTCTAGTTAGACGTACATTATGTGAACAACATTAGATATACACAGCGGTTTTAGATATCGTTTAATTAAGATGCAATTTAACATTTCTTGGAAAAAAAAAAAAAAACAAAATGGTTTACTAAAACATTTATTTTCTACGTATGGTAACAAGTACGATCGTAGCGAAGACTATGTAATGTAAGTATCAAAATATGTGTGTGTGTTTGTGTGTGTGTGTGTATGTATGATTTATGTGAAAAGTCACTTTGAGAATGTTCTTTCGTATAGACAGCAATGGTGTCCATTGAAGTGGAATTCATTTCGAAAACCAAAAGGGGATTAAGCAGTGAATGCCTAAAAATTGTTTTCAAAATTTTGTATAAATTCAGAGAAAACGAAACAAAAAATGATGAAAATGTGTGTGTACCTTATGCAAGGCAAGGATGGCATTGCTAAGGCTCAATACCTCAATCTTGCTTGCTTTTTCTCAAGGGCCTTTGCTTAAAGTTACGACTCTATAAATATGTTAAAACATTATTTCTTCTCTGCAACATATCTGAGTACATTTCACTTAGCGAACAAAACATTTATATATTTTAATATGAGAAACGTGTTTTTGAAGAATCTGTATGAATGCTATTACAAGCTAAGAGCACATGTTGCCTTTATCCTTCATCAGCGAAGAATGCTGATATACTAACTTGGCCGACGCATTCGCAACATATGAAATTGAAATGAAATGCGAATGCACTTATGAACAGTGTTCGATTTGAAGGTTAATTTTGCGATATACTTCTATAGGTCCGTTGCCGCAGCGAGTTTAAATATATCAGACATTGCGATGATTATTTACGATTGACTTATTACTTGCATAGATTTAGTTTGAGAGTAAGAAAAACCTTGCATTCAAGCAAAGCCAACTCTATTACCAAGCTCCCGATGACTTTTTGAAAGTGTAGCAATGTGTGAGGAGGAGCTCTATATATATATATATATCAGTTTTGAGTAGTGCTCGAAACATGTCAGTGTGTAAAAGTAGTGACGTGCGAAATACAAAAAAAGAACAAACATATGTTACACATAGGTTGCTTGCAAATTTTTCGTTTTAAACATGAAGATGGCAGTCTGTATCCGTAAAAGTTACGTGCGATAAGTTTCTAGGCGCGAGGCGTACTCAGCGAAGTTTTAGTGGCTTTCGACGTGCACTCGTTAGGGTGTTTTTGTGAAATCAAAAAAAAAAAAAAAAAAAAAAAAAAAAAAAAACAATTGTCGAGCTGTTAGTGAGTGTAGTTTTTTTGAAATAAATTAAGAACAAATTAAACGCTCTGTGTATTATTTATCGCGATGAGTTTTTGTTAGTAATCGCGATGCATTATCATGAAAACAGCGCTCATTGAACTTCTAAATTCTATATCTTAGGTTAAATTGATCTTTAATATGTTTTTTTTTTTTTTTTGTTTATTTTCTATTATATATGTATGTTTAATGTTTAATGTACGTAATGTTTAAAAAAATTAAAAGAAAATATATAAACTTGGAAGATTAATTAAAATAATTAATTAATGGAAAAATAAACTACTTTCTAAATGGAAGATCCAATACGATTCCTATTCAATTTGTTTATCGCATTGGCAAGGCATTTACCTGACTACCCAGTCTGAGAAAGCAGTTTGAAGAAAGGCGTTACATTGAATGTGTGATAAATTGAAAATTCAGGTCATCATCGAGGCATAGTTGTGTTCGCAACAAACCACATGAACTTAACAATAAGACGGGAAGCCTTCGATTGATGTACTTGAAGTATTTCAGTGTTAAAGTTACTGACTGTAACTGCCTGGCTGCCCGGGTCCAAATAAGTTGCAAGATACTCTTTTGCTCTACTCTAATACACTTTTATTTCTTAGATTAAATTAAGAGTCTGGACGAATTAGCGAAAAAAGGTTTTTTGATTTTTAACTTAAGTTAGACGTTTAGTTTTTATATAATTTTTTCCCCTTTTAAGCCTTGGTACTATTTACATGCTCGGTGAGCGTATATGCGATAAGGTGAAGGTGAACGGTGCAACTGTATGTGGCCTTATTGTGCTGATTAGTTTTCGTTTAATGACCTTAACGATAAAACCTAATTGTATTGTTTATTTTGTTTTTTTTTTTTTTTTGTCCGAAAGGGCCGATCGCTGCGCGTTTGGTTTATTTTTTTTGTAACGATAGATAATGAAATAAAGTTTAGCAGCAATGAATTATGTTTAGCAGTGTGCACATAGTTCTAATTCTAATTCCGTTAGACGTGCTTAGATATTGCAACCGAAAATTGAACATGAATATGAAAGCATTTCCATGCACTAACACGCAAAACAACATCTTCGGAATACATTACATAAAAATATACATTGATATAAACTTACGGCCAAAACAAATATCAGCACTTTTTCCAGTTTTCAAGACGAATTTTCTTTATTTTAATTTTTTTATTTGCTTAAAGTTTGTGTTCCTCGCATATTTAATTTTTCTTCTCTTCTATCAATTGAGTTAAATTGATTTTGTATATTGTAACGAAGCGTACGAATGGATTATAGTCGTTTCGCTTGCTTTTGGCTTGCAACGGTCAAAAGTGCCTATCAGATCCTAAAACGAAATGATTTATGCCAGTGTAATATTCAAGGTCGCAACTCTACTTCTATCTATTCGTCCGTCCAGCATAGTTTTTCGATATTCTATTAAAGTGAACGTGAACATTAGTTAAGCTTCGCACATTAGGTTTGAAAATGAATGTTCTGTCTTTCCTTCCCCCAACGCTTATCCTACTAAAAAAAAAAAAAACAAAAAAATTAACAGATAAATAGTTTAATTAATGATATCAACAACATCTACACGGATATAATGGACTTTTATTTAAAATTTAGTAAAAGTATGGATTAGAAAATTGTTGCACGGACCAAATTACACACACAGAATATACAGAATACACAGAATATTGTATATGCATCACTGTTTACAGGGGGTTGTGGTTGTCTAAAATTCGTCGTCTTACTAGTTTTTCATATTTATTTTACTTGCAAGCTTTCGATTCGAATGCATTTAAATCAATCAACGTAGCATAGCTCAAGCGATGCAAAGGCTGCGGAATATATTATAATAATATAAAGCAAAATTTCGTTCTAAGCGTAACTAGTTCTCCTAATGAAAATATCCTAAAATTATTATATTTTAAAGGTTTACTACACGAATATCATATCACTGCAAGTTTTCGGAAGAGATTTTGTCACTGCTTTTGGTGTTGTTGATCGTAGATAAGCATGAGCGCAGTCGACGTTACGTTTTAATATAGCTCCTACCATCATTTCATTCAATGCTTAATTTGTAGATAGACCAATATTCTATTATAATAGGATAATCATAAGTTGAAGTCGTTGACTTAGTCTGGCGTCTCGTCTGGAGTCTACTTAAGTCTAGACTTCGACTTCAACTAAGACGGTTGCCGCTGATATCGATCCAAGAAGCAAGAAGCATCTTAAAGGCTTACGAATATTAGGGGCAGATGGTTATATTCATGTCCTTTGGCTTTATCTATTTTAATTCTGATTCCTTGTGCAATTTGTACTCACCCTTTCTCAGTTGCAGCTTCGTTTGTTTCGCTCAGTATGGGCGGGACTGCGTTCCATTTTGCTGCGTGTGCGCGATTCTGGTACGGCTGAAATAAGAGCGGCGTTATGTGCAGCGATAAAAGGCGTTTCGGAGAAACGCGTTTCATTTATCCTATCATTATCGTTGGTTTCACGCTGATCTTCGTTTTGATAGTTGCGATGTTTACGTATATCGGTGTCGTTTAATAAAATTTCGACTTGATTGCTACTTTGTACTAAGCAAGCAGCATTAATGCCGCCACCGACGCTAGTGCCAATAGCGGCGACTCTTTCCAAGCAAGGTGACAAAACGTTCCGGCCATTGCCATAGGGTGTTTCTCGCGGTGTTACTAGCAATTTTTCTTTGGTGGCCGTAATGCAAGTATCTTGTGTTATACCATTATCATCGTCATGATCATAATTATCTATGCTGCTGCCGTGAGTGTTAATAGCACCTCCCCCATTGCCATTATTACCGTGGTGTAGACGAGGGCCGCAAGTATTACGATCTGAACGGTTATAACCGCGATTAATCAAATTATTATTGGATGGGTTAAAACATGGTAAAACATGTTTGAATTCTTTACGGAAATTTTCATTTAGCCAAGCATACAGGAAGGGATTATAACACGTAGAGGACATGGCGATGGAATGCGCCACGAAAAAGAACAAAGTATAAAAACGCCATTCATTCGATTTTTCATAAAAATCATCAAACATGTTAACCACATTGAGCGGCAGCCAGGAAAGACCAAAAACAGCTACCATAGCGATAAGCATACGATTTGTACGTTTTTTGCGATCACGATCTGCTTCTTCTTTACGTGACGATTTGGAGCCTGGCTTAGCTCTGGCACGAGCATTCAATTTCATCGAGATCCATACATAGCAAATAGAAATAATGACAAAGGGTAAAACGAACTGCAATATGGTGGTAACGGAACCAAACACTTTACGATAATGCTCCGAAGGCCAATTCTCCTCGCAATAGTAAACAGTGGTGCCGGTGCTGTATGTATCAGTTTCATTGAGCATATTAATGGAGCTTACTACTTGCATATAGGCATCGTAGTTGCGTTGATGATCATTGGATATATTGACGGTGGGGGAGTTAGCAATAGGTGTAATATTTGCAGTCACCCAAGAAACATTAGCATTCAGGCTTACACGTGTTAGCATTTTCATGTACATACCATAAGGCAATGTGGCCAACAGAGCAATAGTCCATATACTAACGATTATAATTATACAGGTGCATAATTTCATGCGTGGATGAAACGGATAAATTATAACGAAATAACGGTCGACCGCGATAGAAGTCAAGGTGAGTGTGGATATATAGATACTGCAGCCTTGGGCAAATGAGACTAAATGGCAGAGGGTGTGACCGAATGCCCATCGACCCATAAAAGTGTAAAGAGGTGTAAATGGGACGGCCAGCACGCACAGTAGAATATCCGAAAGGGCCAAATTCGTTATAAAAATATTGGTAACGGTTTGCATGGCACGATTCCTAAGCACCACAAAGCAAACTAAAACATTACCAAACACACCCAATACAAATACGGTGGAGTACAGGATGCAGAAGAATATCTGCACAAGTTCGTTGTTTATCAAATCCGCAGAATCGTTGCTGATTTCTTGAGGTGCGGGCAACTCAACGCTAGCATAACTGATTGTGGCAGCATTATACAGTTTCTGCTGATCATGATAATATTGACGAAGTTGATGCGTATCGTTTTGTACAATAGTTGCCGAGTTATTCTTGAAGGCATAACCGAGCCAATTAGACCAGGTGGGTGTAATCGGTGCACTTGTTCTAAGAGTCTTCGTGAGATTGAAGTTCGGCATGTTGAAATATACTTTTATTAATCGCTATATATATATTTATTCTTCTTCTTCTTCTTCTTCTTCTTCTTCTTTATGTTCTTGTAAACTTTAAATTTTTCTCTGATTTTACCGCATAAAAAATTTCTTCACAGACTTTGTTTGCATTCAGTGTTTGCTTTTCATTTTATACCATTCACTTGTCTAAAATATTATCTTTTGTTCAAATAGCGTGGCTGTGATTGTTAAGACTACATTTATGTGCACATTCGAGAATTTAAGTGTATTTTATTATCATTTGCTTTCAAATGCGTTTTCAACATATTTTCAAAACGTTGTTCTACCGTTTCACTGCTCTTGATACTACGGCGTTTCACTGCTTTTGCTTGTAGAATTCTTCTTCTATTTGTTCCTTTTCCATTCTTTTGCGTTTTTTTGCATTTTCTTTTTTTACATCACCATGATAGCCTTAATTGTTGTAGTTGTCATATATCGAAGTCAAGAGTAAAGCTGTAAAAAAAAAATTAAAATATGAGAAAGTAAGTTGAAAGCATATTTGTGGTCAAATGAAAAATAAATAAATGGTGTGACATGAAAAAGATTGTTCTCTGACTCTTACCATTTACCTATTAATCATTCAAGAATCACCTGAAGGCAAACAATTATTACAGAAATACAATGATACAAGTACAGCATTATACTTAAAAATAAAAAAACGGAAACCACTTAAACCCTCTTAGCGCATGATTGCTTAAGCAGTTTTTACGCATGTGCGAATCCCTTTTTCCCAAAAGTCGATAGCTTCCAACTTGTTAAGAATAATTGATGAAAGTTCAGTAAAATTTTGCTCTTATTACAAACACTCCCACTTAAGGCAAGAAACTGAAATAAGCCCGGAAAAACTCGAGTATTTTACCACAATTCTAATCAATAACTAACGATCGATTATTAAATATTTCCGAAAAAATTTGATATATATATAATAGCTAGGGTTGCTAAAAATTATGCCCGATCAACTTATTAACATACTCGCAATTAATGAACAATTTTACATTATAGCTATTATTTGCTTCTCGTACTCACCGCCTGTCTGTGAAAAGTGTTAGGGATTCGTGAATGGTAGCGTGGATACCCTTAAATCGATATTGAATATTTGAGAATTGCGGTGTTTTACTACAACTTCATCGCAAGTCACGACTGGCCTGAAAGACAGAACTTCATCTGTGTGTGTGATATTTTCGTATTAAATGTCTGCCGTTCTATCGTATTAGCTTGATATGTTACTAGAAACCGAGGAATCTTCAGTTCCAGTAAGTACAGTAGTGTTTCTTCACCAGAAGTGTTTAAAGGAAGAGTAAAAGCTCAGAGTCGAACTGTTATATTCGAAGGAAATTCGGTCTTTCGGACATCGATGAATCATTTAGCATATGATAATGATGGATGAATTACTATTATTCAAGCATAACGATGAACATACGATTTTTTCGACATATTTATTATATCGTTTATTCACCGACGGTGACAAAAGACCGATAGAGGTATAGATAGACAGATAACTTGTTAAACCGATGGATCAATAAACCGAAAGATTGTGATATCGAAAAATGTTTAGATGAATTGACCGGCACATCGAAAAACCGTTATATGGACGCACAAGTGACACACACTAATTGATAAATAAACCGAAGTAGGTATAAGTGAACAGATCGATAGACCGACAGGTAATTGCTTTCTACGAACTATTGAAGTCATTCATTACTTACTACCCTTGCAGATTTTATTACAGTCTTGAATAGATTGGCTGGCTAACCGTATAAAAGAAAAGAGGAACTGTGAACATCATCTCTTTGAATTACGCCATAAATCAAATATTTTTTTAGATTGCACAACTGACTCTATCTGATTGACAGACTTTCTTCCAAGCATGTGCGTGAGTGGTGGGTACAAAAGGATAATGTGTTACAATGAATTTAAAAATGCGAAAATTCCTATTTACACGTAAGCTAAAGATTTCTCTTATCACTTTAACGAAACGCAAAGTTTTTTGATTCTTCAAACAACGAAATACAAAAACAAATTCCATACATGCATAAAATATTTCGTAAAACTATTCCAAATGAATTAGCAATTTGTGTACGTGCGAGGATAGAGCACAAAGTTCATGATCTCATAGAAAAAAAAAAAAAAAAAAAACGAAAAATAATTTGTAAAAAATATCTTCACTTCTCAATGTGGAGTTCCTTTAAATCGATACATTTTTCCGGACGATTTTCTTAAAATAGCCGTCAACGGCAAACTGCACTGCACCCCTTAACTGTTCGCAAATCTTGGAAAATTACGAAAGAGAATTCTAAGAAACTAGCGGAAGATCTAATAGGATAAGTTTAACTGTTCAATTATTCTTAACGGGGTAACGGCATATGCTGCTAGCTCGTGCACTTTCAGTCGATTGTCGTGGATAATCACCTATCATTAATCACATGATTGTTTGCTTGCAACGTTCGTCTTAGGAACCTGTACAGAGCCGCGTTTCAATGAAAGTCCTGGGACTCTTTTCATGTTTACATATTCACTGAGACCGGCCAAATGTCAAATTTCAGCTTTATAAGTTTCTTACTTATAATGCGAATGAAAACCGCTGTCTACACGTCAGGCTATATATTACTGATATTACTGCTATTATCCTCGTACATACAAATAGTTATGTTCACGTATTTGAATTTTTGTGCTGTGTTTTTGTTTTCTTTTTTTTTTTTTTCTTTTTTTTTTTTATATAACATCTGCAAACAATAATATTGAACTGATGCAACATATGGAGCATACGTTTGTGGTAAATATATTACAAACATTTGAAATTTTATTTTTTAATTAAAGAAATATCCTGAACAGGTGCCAATCATTTCGTACTTAAGTGATTTGTTGTGTTCATTGATAATATATTAAAAAATAAATAATTAAATAAAAAACAAAAAAAAAGGGGAAAAAGGAAAAATAAGAAGAAGAAGAAGAAGAAGCCAATCTTTTCTTCATGAATTTAATATAAAATTTTTTTATTAAAAAATGTTATGAAAAGTTTTCCGTTTTTTTTTTATTAGGTTGTTGTTGGTTAATTAATTTGTAATTAATTCTGTTCGTTCAGTTAAATAATCTGCACAAAGGAAAATATAGCAGTCACTCTCTTGTCATTGTCACTGCGATATTAATGTAAACATTTTATTGAATTGCGTAAAAGTCAAGGTTTAATTGCTACCGTAACTGAAATGTTGGGTATTCGTAATTTGTTTGCGAAGTATAGTTGAGTGTACTCAAAATATGTCGGCAGTTGCGACTATAACTGTGACCTTTCACTTCAACGTAATGCTTAGTTGATCCTTTCTATATAAAGGAAAACAACAACAATGAAAAAAAAAACAACAACAACAACAACAACAACAACAACAACAAAAAAGGGAAAAAAAGGTAACTATATAGAAAGATGTAATACTCTCTAATCAGTCATTTATTTGATATTGTTGTCGTCGAAAAGTGTTTACTAATATCATAAGCGAATGCATCTTAAAACTGACGCAACTGATATGCTATAGCTTAACTTCCTTCCTCTGTTACGTGGGTACGGCACTGTAACAATTTAGTTTTTTCCGCAAATTCCTTTTTAAATGGAAGAAAGAGTTGCAGAATATTTGAAGAAATGGTTAAAAAAAAATCCATTTTTGAAAGATATTAAGAAATGGCAACGTCGCAGCGATTATCTGGAGACATCTTTATGTATATAATATAATTAAAAAAAAAAAAAAAAAAATCATTTAATCTGCATCTTTACATCCAGCGAAACATGTAGGCGATTTGTGAAAATATTTTTCGAATTTTTTGCAATTAATGAGTGTTTGAGTTAAAAAAAAGTGCAATTTTTGAAAAAAAAAACACTTTTTTTAACAAAAAAATCACATTAGTAAAAAATGTTTGAATCAACTTATCGAACGAAAAATCCTAACATTCGTAGAGAATGTTGTTTTGAAGACATAAAGTAAAAGATATCGAATGAAAGAATGAGCATTGTTTGAGTTATGCTCTCGATTTAAGAAGCTATGTGTCTTAAGATGAACGTGTTCAAAGCTTTGGTGTGCATTATGTAAACCTTTCATTCATCACAATAAATTTTTTTCATTATTTTTTTCCATCGGCCTGCGGTTCCAGGATCGCATCTCTTTTCTAAAAGATTTTATGCTACAACTTGCCTGCCTTTGCAGCTTTTGTCAAAGACCTGTCAGCTTTATTGGTTCAGTTTCATCGCAGAAATTTCATTTCCGAAACTTTAATGATTTTTAGAATAGCAGCCAGACCGTCATTAAAATTGGATGCAGCAAAGTCAGAGTCTACGAGCACGACTTTATGCTTATCGCGAGCACCGAAATGCCAAGGGAAAGATGATTTGTGGGCGATGAAATTTTTTCTACGTATTCTAAACGATTCAAAGCATTCGTTAAGCAAAAACACAAAAGAAAAAAAACCGAATTCTTGACAAAACTTATTTACTTGCAGTGGTCTATGTCCTTAAGCCTACATTATGTTTTTAGTGGAAAGACCCCAAATCTTTACTTACTGTTACTGAGCTAAGCTTAAGAAAACGAAAAGTTACCGCCGCTTATTCAAACTGCTATTGCGACGGGAAAATGAAAACAACAAATTTGATGACAGACTTATTGTTGTGGATACGGTTCCAGTGATATTCAGACTTACTCAAATCCTTGATCACAAATATACATATATATATATATATATATATATATTATATAAAAGTTACGAAAATCATTAATTTAACTTGAAGTGAGAACATATTACGCTAATAAAAGATAACAAGGCAAGTGAGTTCGTGTAAAAAGTTGTAGTCTTGTAATCGATGAAAATTCGCGCATATGTCGAAAGAAATTCAATAAGTAATTTGCAACTTGATCTGGTAACTCGACTTGATTGTGACGTATTCTCCAGATCCGTTTTCTTCTGCTTAGCATTGGTTCAGATCGGCGCAGTCATATTGCGTTGATCAGCGGCTCGGGAAAATTAGAAATGTGCGAAAATGGATGGTTGACTATTTGACTTCGAAACCAGGAAGTTTCTAGCGTGAATGCATCCGCATCCGCCCGCAACCTGCCCGATAAGAGGCAATAGACCATAGATAATGATCGCGCATATTTCAATTATCAAGTTTTGTGACAAGCATGTTTGAAGTGTATTGGAATTTTTTTTTTTTTAAATATACAGGCAAGTCATTATTTGAAATTTCATAATATACACTAAACTATATGATTGCCTGGTGCGTAAATCTGGGGAACGCGAAAAGCACGATAAATTTGGTGTATTTTATACGTTAGACAATTGCTATAAATACAATTAACTACCAGCATTCATTTATATTCATTGTTGAATATGTTAATTAATGTTTTCGAAAATATGAAAAGTTTTTGCGTAGTGTGCGCCCCCGCGCCCCCGCTGCATACCCCTATGCAGCGCGG